CTGCTTATATGTTATCACGTTTATTGTAGTGACTCCGGATTCACATAGATAGACTTGCTTCCAGACGCTTGTCACTGCATTCCATCAATGACTTATTCCGTTTCTCTGCTTATATTTTATCACGTTTATTGTAGTGACTCTGGATTCACATAGATAGGTAGATCGGAAAAGTGCTGTCACATAAAATGTCACTTTTTAGATATTTGAATAGGATTCTTCTGACAGTAATTTCCAGAACTCAGGAGCATTACTGTCAGAAGCTCTTGCCTGTAGGTAAAGGGCACAGTACATCTTTACGATTTCTTCTTCTAATATTTTAGGTTGTGCTTTCACTAATTCTGATATTTTAGAACATAGTTCAACCCCACAGTCAGTTCTAATTTCTGTTAATGGAAGCACCATGAAAGTGACAGTGTCATTTAACTGTACCAGCTTCTTTAAAAATCAGTGTGCAAATTATTTAGTTGCATTGCAACACACTCGAAACTGGAAAATGTTTTATCCCTGCACTCATCTTCCATAAAACTGAAGTTCTTTAGATCATCTTTCCTAAATTGAGCTGCAAACCTTGTAATCCTTTCCTTGAAATTCCTAATCATATGCATAACTTCTGTCAGAGAATCTTTTCCTTACAAGCTAACAATTTTTTTGTTTAACTTTACTGTAGTATCAAACAGAAAGTACAGTTTCAGCGTTCAGGGTTTTCTTAATCACAGAAACATTCTACTATTGATTTCAAACACTCTAAATTCTAGAAGATGGCTCCTGAATCTTCTAAAACATACAGCCAGACTGAGCCAGTGTACATCTGTTGTGAAAGGAGGTCTTTATGCTCTCTTTTACATTACTTCAATCAAAGCTTGAAACTTAGCTCTAAGTAAACTTCTGGTAGAAATCAAATTGTTGCTGTTGAATGTAGGGCTGTACCGAATAGTCATTTTCACTATTCGGCCGAATACAAATAATGGGACCAACTATTCGGCCGAATACGAATAATGTATAGTGTATAAAATATATCTTTTAAAAAAACCACATTCATAATGTCAAATGTACGCTGAACTTTTACTTCACATAAAGTAGCACAGAACAGTCATCTTCTTCTTTAGCATTCTGAGCCCTTGAGGTTTACTGCTGCAGATATCACTCGTCTCCATTCATCTCTCTGGCTGGCCTTATCTTCACAGTTTGTGACACCAGTTGTTTGCAGGTCTGGCTAGACATTATCTCTCGAACTTCTTTTTTGTCTGCCTCGTGGTCTATGCCCATTCCTCTTTCAGGTGTATACAGTTTTTACTTCTCTGTACTTGGAAATTGTTGCTGACAGCTTAGTTAATGCAGGAAAGCTGCATTAGCTTTCAACAAAACCAATCGTTCCATGTTGTCAGCATTAAGGCCGTGTATACCATTAAGGCCGGGTATAAGGTAACTACTATTCATATTCGGCCCGACTGCAATTATTTGGCCGAATAGTCAATAGGTCTACTATTCGGCCCCGAAGCGAATATTCGGTACAGCCCTAGTTGAATGCTGGGGTGCTCACAACATGCTGAGCTCAGAGCACTTGCTGATGAACATTACAATGTTATGATGTGAATGTAGTAATCTTCATCATCATCGCAGAGTGGAACAAGACCAGAACTAGTCCTGACCATAGATGATGCACCATCTTTATTACTGGACTCTGATCTGTATGTTAGCAAATCTGTGTGTGTGATCTCATTTCTCAAAGCATTGAATATGTTGTGACCTTTTGTTTGACCCTTCACGGCTGTAATGGTTCACATTTCTTCTCTTGACGTCTTGTCAAGAAAACCAATTCTTACCAAAAAAAAAGACATAACCGTGCCTGTCGGTAAAATATCAGAAGATTTAATGAACTGTAGGGACAGATAATTGCATTTACACAGGTCTTCCTGCAGCTTGTCCTCCAAACTCTTACCCATAATTTCCTGTCTCCTCATCACAGTGTTCCGAGAATTCTCATCACAGTGTTTGGAGAAGTCTCTTCGTCGCAGTGTTCCAAGAATTCTCCTCATTGCAGAGTTGCGAGAATTCTCCTCATCGCAATGTTCAGAGAATTCTCCTCATCACAGTTCAGAGAATTCTCCTCATCACAGTGTTCTTTTATGACACTCAGTATTTCATCATTATGTTTACAATCATCAAAAAGTACTTGCCCTCCTTTACAGAAAGCTTCTTTGACAACCTCACAATCATCATTGTTTTTTCATTCTGTTTAATATAAAGAGTGTTTATTCTAGTGGAAATTTCTAGTTGCTCGTCCACCTCTGGAGTGTTGCATGCACATCTGTTTTACAGATCTCCCTTATTTGTATGCAGATTGTTGGTCCCTTGCCTCTTAGGCAGATGCACTCCGACTTGGAAGCCCCAATTAGTTGGCTCAGATGACATGCTTGTTGGGGAGGCAGGGGGTCTGTTGTTGTCCCCAAAGTGGGGTCCCAGAACCTGCTTGGGGAGAGGAATGACTTCCATTGGCTGCTTCACCCTGTTTGTGTGTATTGATTACTGCATATATCTGTAGATATTTTGCAGAAAACATTGGTTACAAATTTATTGGTGACCTGTGTAAATTATTTTTGTTAAAAGGATGTTTTTGTGAATTCCAAGGGTGTCATAATCCAGTTTAGAAGTCTTCTCGGTACAAAGGGGGGTAGTTTAAGTGTCATCATAGTCTTATGACGCAGTGTTTCATTGCGTCACCATCTGCTGTCAACTGATAAGGTCACTGCTGCTGTGATAGATGAACTGGACTTGATATTTTCAGTAAGGCAAGTTTTGGATCCAGAGTTTTCATCCCCTGAACTACTGTATATTGTACAATTGTTTTGGAGAGGTCGGTAGATCTGATTACCATTGGCTTTTTATGTCTTTTACTTTTGTCCACAGAGATTTCTATTCTCTGTGTCTAGACATGATATGGCAAACCCTTGTCACTTCTGGTCTGGTCTGTGCATCATATTCTGGAAACCAATCTAGTTACAGATCTTTTACAGGACGTTGCAGAACCAACCCCAGCATTTTTTGGCTGTTGTGGTTTTTCTAGGCAAATTTTACTCGCCAGTGCTTACTGAACTGTCAGCTGTCAGTACCACTGTTAAAACCAACACAAGGCGACCTGCTGCCAAATCTCCTACAGCTGGGATCAAACCAAGCATCCTGGCATTGCATCGTGTGTTTACGGCTAAGCCACAGACACTGATGTACCGAGGATCTTTTGAAAAACATATGATGTCCAGTGCTTGTATATTTCTGTCAAGTTTGGATACTGATGTCATAAAGCTGCTGCTAGCTAGTGGACTAAAGAGTAGTAGTTTTGTTTTACATGAAAGAAGGAATCAAGAAATTGCATCACTGCACTTAGGGCATTCTCATATCCCTCTGTCCTTTTCCACAAGAGTTCTACTGGTGGTGCTGGTTGCCACTTTATGAAAAGTTCACTTAATCTTTCCCACACATGAGACCATCCAGACTTTCAGTATAAAAATCTTGAGGTGTGGACACTCACTGTGTTCTGTTGCCACCATTTGATTCCAGGGCCTTCATCAAATCCAGTTTATCATTAAGTAGCTCAGCAGCACCGAGAGGAGTGGCAGCTGCTTATTACCCTGCACACCAGAATGTCCTGGGCAGAAAATAGAAAATCCATGTTGTGTTCCTGATCTGAAACTTATTAACTCTTTCTGTCCCAAGGAACACATCATGAGTTAATTGATTTCTGCCTGGAAGCCCAGTGAACGCGGGATGCGCCGATTTTACGCCTCCCTTTCTTTTTACTGCTACTTGGGCCTCTGATGCTAATTCTGCCGGGACCGTAAGAGTTAAGTGATGCGAGCTAATCTATGTGTATTACACTAGTCTCTATGTTAAAAAGCATTCTCTAGTGCATCTGTTACAATTACATCAGTGTTTTACATGAAATGTAAGGAAGTTAACCAAGATGTAATCTATCATGTCAGTGTTTTACATGAAATGTAAAGAAGTTAACCAAGATGTAATCTATCATGTCAGTGTTTTACATGAAATGTAAGGAAGTTTACCAAGATGTAATCTATCATGTCAGTGTTTTACAGGAAATGTAAGGAAGTTTACCAAGATGTAATCTATCATGTCAGTGTTTTGCATGAAATGTAAGGAAGTTAACCAAGATGTAATCTATCATGTCAGTGTTTTACATGAAATGTAAGGAAGTTTACCAAAATATAATCTATCATTTCAGTGCTTTACAGGAAATGTAAGGAAGTTAACCAAGATGTAATCTATCATGTCAGTGTTTTGCATGAAATGTAAGGAAGTTTACCAAGATATAATCTATCATGTCAGTGCTTTACAGGAAATGTAAGGAAGTTTACCAAGATATAATCTATCATGTCAGTGCTTTACAGGAAATGTAAGGAAGTTTACCTAGATGTAATCTATCATGTCAGTGTTTTACAGGAAATGTAAGGAAGTTTACCAAGATATAATCTATCATGTCAGTGCTTTACAGGAAATGTAAGGAAGTTTACCTAGATGTAATCTATCATGTCAGTGTTTTACAGGAAATGTAAGGAAGTTAACCAAGATGTAATCTATCATGTCAGTGTTTTACAGGAAATGTAAGGAAGTTAACCAAGATGTAATCTATCATGTCAGTGTTTACAACATTGTAATCTGTTTCTGTTTCAGCCGCTACAGGCCTTGCCATTGCCGTGATGTGGGAGTAAATTTCACCATTTCCCACTGTCTCTACTGGACTGCATGTAATCAGACGCACTCCACTGCCAGTGGATTTTATCACCGAAACACAACCACACTCTGTCCTGCCATCTTTATTCAGCGTTGCTTCCAACTGCATGGCCACCTCCAGAAGCAAGCTACAGATGACATATCTGTAGTTATTTTCTTAACAAAGTCGATTGTGTTGGATTGTTGGTAAAGAAGACATCTTGATTTGTTATAATAGCCAGAAAATCTGGTGCCAGAAAACTGGTATACTTAGAATGGCCACACTTGAGTGCAACAATGGGCAAGACGGTTTTTCTCCCACAGAAAATGGTGAGGTTTTACAAGGAGGAAAGTCGGCAAATATAGATTACTCAGAAGACTTGTGGCTGGCCAATAGCGAAGACTCTACTGGGCCTTATGCTCAGCAACCAAGTAAAGTGTTGACACAAGAAGTATCCTACGCTTATTCATGTCGCTCAGAGGTCGGTTATTCAAACTCTTCTGCCACTCATGACTCCACAGGATCATCAGGGTCCACAGTGGAGGTCAAATCTGAGTTGCCAGAAAATCACGCGAACAGTGAGCTTGGTCATGTTTGGAGCGAGCATTCACCAGATAATCATGCCACAACTTTGCAGCCTGCCACTTCTTACATGAATGGTTTAGTTGAGCCCAACGGGTTAGACTTTAACAGCAGTGGTGACGAGAAGGATTTTGCTCAGCTGGTTCCAGCAGGGAGTTATGAGGAGAATAGCTCAGTCACAGCAGTAGAAAATCAGGATAAAACATTTACTTCCCTGATGCCAGCAGCAGCAATGGACATGCATGAAAATCTGCAAGCCGAGTTTGGCACTCAGCGGCAAATGGGTTACTACGGCTCTACCGATCAAATGAATGATTGTGAAAGAGCTGCTGGTGGGGGGGAGGCTGTGGTCGTATCTTACGATCAATCTTTGCAGATGGCAGCAGTTAACGGGGAGAGGGAGAAGAGTGGGGAGGAAGGAAGTAATGCTGTCTATATCTCACTGGATGGTCTCACTGCTAGTGGACACAGTATGAGCCCGTCAGGTAATTTTGCCATGATTAGAATGGGAAATAATGAGTCGTACACGTCAAACTTGCTGGGTGAGGGCTACCAGCACATCTCCACGCTTCCATTTGTTCAGAATGGAACCTATTCAACTCTTGCATCTTTTCACCCCTCTGCAGTTTCCTCCATCAACGGTGAGGAGAATCACCAGCAGGTGGCACAGCATTCAAACTACGGATCTGAACAGACTAGCTTCAGCTGTGATAGCACAGCTCTAGCTGCCTGCACCATGTTAACACCAACTGTTAACACTGTCGAGTACCAAGATGATGAAGATGATGATGACGACGATGAACAAGAAGATGATCCCAGTCAGGATATGGAGGATGACTCTATGGAATGTTCCGAACTCACTTGCCCAGTTTGTAGCGAGGCATTCGTTGACCAGGCCACACTTGAGGACCATATGGCCAACCACCCGACGATGAAGAGTTTTGTTTGTAACTCTTGTGGTAAAGATTTTGCCACGAGGCGCTACCTCAGATATCACAGGAAGAACCATTGCAAACGGGCAGGCTCATATGAAGGACAGAACACCGGAGATGAAAATGACCCTTCTAAAGAAACAAAGAGGTTCGCCTGTAATGTTTGCCACCGCCCCTTCCGTGTCCTGAAATGTATGAAAGTGCACAAGAAGAAAAAACATGGCATTCAGAAAGAGTATACGTGTCCAAGCTGTGCCGTGACTTTTACTTCTTTACAAGATCTGACAGATCACTCATGTGGGTCAAAGAGTGTGCCGAGTACTCCACAAATCGTACAGTACACACCTCCCCCGCTTGTCGTCCCAAGTCAGAAAAGAAAAAAGAAATTGAAAAATGCCAAACCAGCCTGTGACATCTGCGGTAAAACTTTCTCCGACCGGATCAGTGTGGATATACATCGGGTGAAGCACATCGAGGAGGAGTTTTATCCGTGTGACATGTGTGAGGAGCATGAGAACTTAGAAGAGAGTCACCTGGCCGTTTATTTTCGAATCAGATTTTTCACAGATGATAATCAACATATCCTTGAAGACCAGAAAGCAGCCGTGGCCTGCCATGACCAAAGTAGATCTGATGAGGGCAGTAGTATTTCGGCCACACCTGTACACCCGGGGTCAGCCACTCCACAATCCACACCGGCCACACCCTTGTATCATCCCACCACACCGATGCACCTCCAAGACACACCTATGAATCACTTGGACGTGTCCATGCAGCATCTGGATACATCCACAAATCATCCAATGACTCCACGCTCATCAGGAAACTATATCAGAGCATTAGACTGTCCTGAGGATGAACAGGTTCAGCTGGTAGAGGACGTGCCTGGAGACGCCGAGGTAATGAATCAAGCAAACTTTACCCATACGTCAACAGAAGTGGAGATGGCAGAAGGAAGAGCAACATTCTCACTGTCTGGTTTTAGCTCTGTCCAGAACAACTGCCTGCCAGCAGGTGATCAGTCTCTACTCATTAATCAGCATCAGGAGCAACAGCAAGAGCAGCCGCAGCTGGTGTACGATGCAGACTTTCAAGATGGTGAAGTCATCCACGATGCTAACGGGTCAGTCCTGGCTGTTGCCCCCAAGAAGAAAAAGGTCAAGAGAACTAAAGTCCACACATGTGATATTTGTAACAAATCCTTTGGGGATGCGGCCAAGCTAGGCCTTCATTACAAAAGCAACCACCTGCATGACCGCCCCTACCAGTGTGATGTGTGCGATAAATCATTCTTCACAAAATGGAAGCTTCAACGCCACATGCTTAGTCACCTGGAGCAGAAGCCCCACTCCTGTCCCATGTGCTCAAAGTCTTTTGTGGAGCGGGGAAAACTGGAGGCCCACTACCGCACACATCTCGGCACAAAACCCTACAAGTGTGACCAGTGCCCCAAAGCGTTCACCGTCAAATCTCAGTTGTCCATCCATCAGCGTCGCATCCACAGTACGGACCAGCCATTTGGTTGCCTGGTTTGTGGGAAAGCCTTCTTGTGGAAGAGTGGGCTGGATAAGCATATGAGGAAACATACGAGGGAAAAGCCTTACATATGTGAGTCTTGTGGCGTGAAGTACTCCAACAAAGCTAACCTCATTGTCCATATGTCTAAAGCACATAATCAGACATACGTAGATAAATAGAGCTCTTAGCACAGGCACATATTAACATATCTCATACATTTGGTTCTGTGACAAATGGTAACCATTGAAGGGACCTGTGATCCCACAGTTGTGGATCGTACCCCTAGCCTTCTCAGATCAAAGTAAAGCCTAGCTCTCATGGCAGATTCTTGTCAACAATGAGGCCTTCAAATAATGTTAAGAGGATCAAGTTAATGTTAAGAGGATCAAGTTAATGTTAAGAGGATCAAGTTAATGTTAAGAGGATCAAGTTAATGTTAAAAGGATCAAATTAATGTTAAGAGGATCAAGTTAATGTTAAGAGGATCAAATTAATGTTAAGAGGATCAAGTTAATGTTAAGAGGATCCAATTAATGTTAAGAGGATCCAATTAATGTTAAGAGGATCAGCTTAATTGTGTCAAGTTCAATCCCATATAAATTGACCTCTCTCTCTGCAGAATGGCTAGCCACCTTTAGAGAGTGTCGCACACATCATGAACATCGTAGCTCCAGAGACGTCTGTGAAAACTGCACCCATGAACCAAACAGTGCAGTCCATGAGATAAACACAAAACCTTCAGAGCATGAGGCAAACAGCTTGACTACTCCTAAATGTTGGCATATATTTCATGAGGTGGGATTCCAGTTCCCTTCCTCATTATCATCATCATCATCATCGCGTTGTAGGCCGAGTGACCTGGCAGCCTTTGGCCAGTTAGGGGAAACAGTGGTGTGATGCTGATTCAACCTACAAATTCGTGAAATATAGAGAGATATTTACAGTGTCAGAAATCGCTGTTGTGGCTGGAATACAAGTGGTGACTACTACATGAATAAGTTAACAGGCAAAGCTTTATTAATAGAGGTGGCCCAGAGGTTATCATGTCTTCTTCTGCTTGGTTTGAGCGGGGTTTAATTCATTGTGTGCACTATGGATTGTTTATGGGGGAATGGTTTCCCCTTTGTGGTCCTGATGTGTTGAGTTAGATGCTTACCCATCTCATACAATGACTACTACCTTTAGACAAGCGGTTCTCAACCTGTGGGTCGCAATTTTTTTTTTTTTTTTTTTTTTGTGTGGGTCAAACGATCTTTTCACAAGGTCACCAGAGACCATCGGGAAAACACATATTCACTGAAGTTATGAAGTAGTAACGAAAATAATTGTATGGCTGGGGGGTAATTGTATGGCTGAGGAACTGTATTAAAGGGTCACCACAACATGAGGAACTGTATTAAAGGGTTGCCACAACATGAGGAACTGTATTAAAGGGTCACCACAACATGAGGAACTGTATGAAAGGGTCACCACAACATGAGGAACTGTATGAAAGGGTCACCACAACATGAGGAACTGTATGAAAGGGTCACCACAACATAAGGAACTGTATGAAAGGGTCACCACGTTAAGAAGATTGAGAATCTTTGGGCTAGACTTTACAGTGTTTTATATTGAAGTCATCAAAATGGGAATGTATGTTCTCTGTACCATCTTTGTCTGAATTATAAACATGGGAATGTTTGTTTTGTGTATACGTTCTTTCGTAGTCTTGAAAAGGAATAAATAATTTGATAAAACTGTTAACACACTAAAGCATCTGAACATGGAAGACAACACTGGCTCGCAGACACCGTTCTGTCTCCGAAACTGAAATACTTTGGCTGTATCAAGAGCCAAGGGGCATTAAAGAGATCAGTTTTGGAGGGGCCGACTAGCATGAAGATAGGCTGTCTGTTAGCTTCATAAACACCTTGGACGGAGGGTGTAGTAGTAGATAAAGGCGACAGGGGCCAACTAGCATGAAGATAGGCTGTCTGTTAGCTTCATAAACACTTTGGATGGAGGGTGTAGTAGTAGATAAAGGCGACAGGGGCCAACTAGCATGAAGATAGGCTGTCTGTTAGCTCCATAAACACCTTGGACGGAGAGTGTAGTAGTAGATAAAGGCGACAGGGGCCAACTAGCATGAAGATAGGCTGTCTGTTAGCTTCATAAACACCTTGGACGGAGAGTGTAGTAGTAGATAAAGGCGACAGGGGCCAACTAGCATGAAGATAGGCTGTCTGTTAGCTTCATAAACACTTTGGATGGAGGGTGTAGTAGTAGATAAAGGCGACAGGAGCCAACTAGCATGAAGATAGGCTGTCTGTTAGCTCCATAAACACCTTGGACGGAGGGTGTAGTAGTAGATAAAGGCGACAGGGGCCAACTAGCATGAAGATAGGCTGTCTGTTAGCTTCATAAACACTTTGGACGGAGGGTGTAGTAGTAGATAAAGGCGACAGGGGCCAACTAGCATGAAGATAGGCTGTCTGTTAGCTTCATAAACACTTTGGACGGAGAGTGCATGAGATAAGGGAGTTGACGAGGCACCTTCTTTCTTTCAGGCAGGTGTTGATGGGAGCGATGTTCTGTACAACAGTAATGTAAAAACTGAGGGTCTCCCGAGGGCCACGCAGGTCACATTTATGTTGTCATGGGGGTCATACACATCACCTAGTTAAGGTCATTTCATTAAAATGATTACATGCAAGGGATTGCATGTTTGACATCCATGTGCTACATGATGTGGAAAAAAATGACCATTTTGTGGGCTTTCAGGCGTATAGGGCTAGACCTATATTTGATAGACCAACCAGCACACAGTTTGTGGTGTGGTTAACATCAGGTGGCTGGCTCTACTTCCCAGGACTTTATCTGGTACCCATCTCAGGCTGGGAGCTAAGATCATTTATTGAAAACAGTCCGGCTCCATTTTGAAGCAAAGCCACGGCCTTCCTAAAGATAATTTGATCTAGCTGGAAATGTATTTTCTCTATATATCCTTCATATGAAGTCATGACAAAAAAAAGAAATGTATAATTTTCATCAGCCCTTTGTTTGAAGTGATCAAGATGTGAATGGATGTTTTCTGTAGCACCTTTTTGTGTAGTGTTAAGGATGAGAATTATATTCTTTAACATGTAATTTTTGTGAAAACATACATCTGGGAATATACCTAGTTTGTATTGACTGCCAGTACTGACCACATTGAGGGCAGTGTAGGAGCTGGTGGGGGTATGAGCCTGCGAATTTAGGTCCACTTGCCAAGCGCACTGACCACAAACTTTGCATTCTAGATTTTTTGTTTATGCTTGACCCCCTAACCAAGGGATCCACTGGGGTCATCTGATTGAGAGCTCTGCTCTGGATACTTGGTCAGCCACTCCTGTGGAATATATGTACCCCTTTGTAATCAGAGATAATCTGTTAGTGTATTCTATCTGTCAGATCAAACAGTACTTGGAAATTTGTATTGCTGTCTGTGAAATGTGATAGTGGCTGGTAGTAGACAATAATCTCTGTCTTTGAAACGGGAAATGTCTGGGAATATGTACACACTGTCTTCAGACAGCTGGGAATATCTGTTTTTGAAATCACACAGCTGGAAATGTCTGTCCCTTAAATAGGACAGAAATATGTATTTGTCAGGGCAGCCGGTCAGTTGGAAGTATGTCTGTCTGTGAAATCAAACAGTTAGAAATATGTTTTTCTTTTAAATCAGACAGTTGGACGTATGTTTTGCTAGGAAATCAGACAGTTAGAAATATCTATGTCTGAGAAATCAGACAGCTGGGAGTATCTATTTGTTAGTAAAACCAGACAGACAGAAATATCTGTCTCTGAAATCAGACAGCTGGAAGTATCTATTTGTTAGTAAAACCAGACAGACAGAAATATCTGTCTCTGACATCAAGACAGCTGGAAGTGTCTTTTTTCTGGCTTTTAAATGTACACACACACGCACACACAAATTTATATATCTACATTTTATGTCAGTTTGTACATACAACATTTTATTGTATATTCATTTAACTTTTTAACGTGTACATAAATATTTCTTTGGATAATGATTTGTCATTTCATTTGAGATGCAACCATATTGTGTAAGATATCTTTTTTTAAATTTTATTCGTTGGGCAGGTATGCACTGATACCTCATTTTAATGGAGAAAAGGGTGGGAAACATTTATCTGATATTGCTTATTGTCTATAGATAACAAAAAAAAGGTCTGTAGTGGCTGATATCAACAATGAATGTGAAAAGAAAGTCCTAGTTTGGGCCTTGTGACCCCAGTTTGTGGAGAGGGGAGGAGAAGATCTTCTGTCCCTGAACAAGCACTGTAATAGGGGGCTGTTTAGATTTTTACTGAAATCAGGCATGTTAGGATGACAGGGGTAAATATCGCAGCCTAGCTGGAAACCGCACCGTGTTACTTATTTTAGGGTAAACATTGAGAAGCAGAAAAAGAAACCTGACGAGAAATAACATTTTTAATTAAGGTAACATAGAATGTAGTTATGTAGAATACATGTCACAGGAAATATTAAGGTAACATAGAATGTAGTTATGTAGAATACCTGTCACAGGAAATATTAAGGTAACATAGAATGTATTTATGTAGAATACCTGTCACAGGAAATATTAAGGTAACATTGACTGTAGTTATGTAGAATACCTGTCACAGGAAATATTAAGGTAACATAGAATGTAGTTATGTAGAATACCTGTCACAGGAAATATTAAGGTAACATTGACTGTAGTTATGTAGAATACCTGTCACAGGATCAGTGGAAACTTGTTGATTTTAAAATTGGACTTGCTAACAATACACATTTTAAACTTTTAAACTGTCATTACTAAATTGGTTGTTCTGGATTTTGTCTGCTGTTTCTGATATGCATTGAATGGAATTTCTGTAAAATGGAAAAATGGGTGTATTCTTTAAGTTCACTACAGCAATTGTAAAACAGTTTTCTTGTATTGTCCTGTATGAATTCTATTTGTTATTTGTGAGAAGAATGTTTTCAGTGAAGAGATACATGTTACCACCATCATCATCATCAGTTTTTGTGTTTGTTTAAAACAAATAGATTGACCTGGGAATGCCATTAGTGAGAAGAAGGTTGTTCTTGGGAGAACAATAGTCATTATCAGGTGCAGGATGCTGTGTGTTTGACAGTTGTTGACAACTTG